TATGATTCTTATGTGAATTTATATACTATACGTATGTAGTCCCCAGAAACGCGCGCCGAAATGATTTTTCGGTCTTGAAACGCTAACTCTATTAAACTACCGTAGTAATATCACGAGTTAAATTGACTGGCAATTTTAACAAATTTTTGATGCTTATTCGCATCTTCGAAACGATTTTAATATAGATGAATAACATATTAAAATCTGTAAATAATTAATTCATATTGCGAAAAATATTATCTCGGCCGGGAGTCGAACCCGGATATCTTGCATACCATACTCGCACTGTAGGTAAGACTGAAAAATCATTTCGGCGCGCGTTTCTGGGGCTACATGCGTAGTATATAAGTTCACATAAGAATCGTACAAGCATTAAGATCCAGCTAGACCGTTTAAGGCTTTGATTTCTATAGTTTGTGTTATCACATATACGGTCCTATAATATATTATATTATTTTTAAATTAAACAAATATAAAAAGTGAGCAAATCGCAAATTCAAAAAATTGTGCTCCTAATATCAGATGCCCCGAGAAATCGATATTAAAACGCAAAGTATATCAGTACATTGCAATTAAAAAACTTTATTTAATGTTCCTAAAATACAAGCAAACACAGCCAGCGTACGCGAAAAATGAGCATGCGATAGATTATACCCAGAACTCGTCTTTAGGTAGTTGAAATCAAGCATCGTAGAAATAGGCACTCGACGTTTATTCCGGTTGTCTTTTTTATTATTGTATAATAACATTTATACTTTAGCAACGACTTTCACTATGACATAGGAGCATGGATTATTTCAAATTAGAAATAGTATCCTGAGAGAAATAGTATATCTGAGTATCTCATATTACGATTTTCACGCCTTATGATTTTAAGATCACCAAATCTAACTTCTATAATTAAACAATTCAACATATCCCGTATTTTTAGTACGACCTTATTTTATCACTACATGAAGAATTTATTGCCAAATATTTATTTATTAAATAATAAACAAAGTTTAAAGGCTCATCTCAATGAAATTTGAAGATATCCAAATTCTAATATCTTGTTTTACAATAACTACAGACATGATCTAATAATGAATTTTCTACTAAATACTTTTCAATCCAAGAGCAATAAGTTCATGGTGGAACCAATAGATATCGTTTATTAGTTTAGCAAAAACGCCGTTATCCGATATCAAACGCCTATCTCATAATAGGGGGCTTTCCTCTATATAATAGAATATATTAATATTTAAAGAAAAATAAAATATATTGATATTAGTATCATATTTACCTTTGTTGACCATCTTGATTTCCAAGACCGTACCAATATGTACTTTCATGATGATAACTTGTAGCCATATTTTCTACTGGTACGTCTTGTTGCATCATTCTATACTCGCTATTATCTGCTGCTCCTTCTTCATATGTTGAATCTTCATTTATTTGATATAGACAGTGAGATCTTAAGTCATTTATTCCTGTGCTGCTATAAAATACGCTAATAGTGTGATTGTTGAAACTCATAAATATGTATTTTACCGATTGCGAAACATTGAAGTAAATTAAGTAATATACTAAATTTGTAATGTACTTAAAGTATACGTTATGTATTTATAACTTAAGAAAAAAAAATATTAATATTTTTAATATAATATATTATAGGACCGTATATATGATAACATAAACTATAGAAATCAAACCTTAAACGGTCTAGCTGGATTTTAATGCATGTATGATTCTTATGTGAATTTATATAGTACGTATAGTACGTATGTTTCCCACAGAAACGCGCGTCGAAAAGTTTTCGGTCTTGAAACGCTAACTCTATTAAACTACCGCAGTAATATCACGAGTTAAATTGACTGGCAATTTGACAAATTATCTCTCTGTAGTCTAAAGGCTTAGGACGCTCGCACGGTATGCCAGAGATCCGGGTTCGACTCCCGGCCGAGGTAATATTTTTCGCAATAAGAATTAATTATTTACAGATTTTAATATGTCATTCAACACTATTAAGATCGTTTCGAAGATGCGAATAAGCATCAATAATTTGTTAAATTGCCAGTCAATTTGACTCGTGATATTACTGCGGTAGTTTAGTAGAGTTAGCGTTTCAAGACCGAAAATTTTTCGACGCGCGTTTTTGTAGGACTACATACGTAGTATATAAATTCACATGAGAATCATACAAGCATTAAGATCCAGCTAGACCGTTTAAGGCTTTGATTTCTTTACTTTATATTAATATATATTTTTATTATATAAGAGTTACCTTTGTTGGTCTTGATTTCGAGGAGCTGGCCAATTTATATCATCATGATGGGAGATTGTATTTGCAATTTCAGTGGCTATAGATTGTTGTGTCATTCTGTTCACCTCATTATCTTTAGATTTTGGTAGAAACTTTAAATGTAGATTCTTTTTTAAACAAATGTGATTTATTAAGACATCTATTCCGTAAAATATGTCCATTTTAAAATTGCAACGCTTGCACCGTGCATTAAATTGTTCCTCACAAATTTCGAAATAAAGCCATAGCGACTTAGTTGTAATTTCTTTTCGTACAACATCTCTTACTTCTTGACTATGCCATCTTTGCAGATGCAGATTTAGACACGGTATGTATGCCTCATGATAAACATTCTTACAAAAGTTACATCTTTCTTTGTACAAGCCTACTTTGTCATAATATCGCCATATCAAGTCATTGTTGTTTTCCCATTTTAAGCGATCTTCTACACTCCATATTCCATGCTTATGGTATAAATGTGCTTTTATTCGAAATGTCATTTTTAACTTGTTCCTTTTAACTGCATAAGTTTGAATACAACTGTATATTTTGCACTGTAATGTCAAATTGTTTAATTCAAGAACATGGTTCCACACCCAGTTGTCTGATGGTTTCTGAGCTGCCATTACATCCGCACAGTGTCGCGATGTGTTACTAAATACGAAATACCGATTAAGGCGAGGAAAATGTTCAGAGAAGCTGTTTAGGAAAGATTGATAATAGAAGAGAGAGTGAAATGTGCAATTTTTTATTAATATTTTAAGGTTATTGATCAAATCTTTCAGTTTTTTTTAGTAAGAATCATATAGGTTAATTCCTACTTATTCGATTTCTGTTGTCTATCAATCAGATTAATATTAACATTATATATTTTACACATCTTGACTTGAAAATAAAATTTGACAATGAAAATTGGTACAAGTTTATATAATTTGAAAATATTTTTTTATTTTTTACTACAGACTACTACACATCAGTTATCACTGTTTATTGTAACGTTAATAAACGTTGAAATAAATAGATTAAATTAAATAATATACTAAATTTTTAATGAACATTAAAGTTTAGATGATATATTAAAAACTTAAGAAAAGTGAAATAGATAAACATTTTAATTAAATAACAGTTACCTTCGTTCACTTTCTGGATTTCCAAGAACTTGTCTATTTATACTATCGTCATGTGAACTTGTACTTGTATTTTTATCGGCTATAGATTGTTGTGTCATTCTGTTCACCTTATTATCTTTAGATTTTTGTCGAAACTCTAAACGTTGAATCTTTTTTGCACAAATGTGATGTATTAAGGCATCTGTTCCGTAAAATATGTCCATAGAACAATTGCAACGTTTACACTGTGCATTAAATTGTTCCTCACAAATTTCGAAATAAAGCCATAGCGACTTAGTTGTAATTTCTTTTTGTACAGCAGCTCTTATTTCTTGACTATGCTTTTTTCGCAGATGTGACATTAGGTTTGGTAAATATGCTCCATTTTTTACACTATCACAAAATTTGCATTTTCCTTTGTATAAGTCTACTTTGTTGAAATATTTCCATACCAAGCTATTATCGTTTTTCCATTTTTTGCGATCTTCTTCAGTCCATATTCCGTGCTGATGGCATAAATGTTCCTTTATCTGTGTTATGAATTGACTTTTTGATATACTTGTATTATCAATATAAGTTTGATCACAACTATCTATATTGCATTGTACACCAACATTGTCTACTTCAAGAACATGGTTCCACACCCAGTTGTCTGATGATTTCTGAGCTGCCATTACATCCGCACAGTGTCGCGATGTATTACTAAATACGAAATAGCGGTTATGCGAAGGAAAATATTCCGAGAAACTGTTTAGGAAAGGTCAATGAAAAGAAAGTGATAAGAGAGAAAGCGAAACATGTAATATTTCACTAAATTGTAAACATTATTATACTGAGTGAATTTTTCAGTTAAGAGTCAAGAAGTTCCGTTTCCACTGATTCGATTTGTGTGTATGTGTGTGTGTGTTATTAAATATTTAAATAAAAATTAATTATTTATTTTGCTCATTTTTGTTAGAAAATTATGCTATATTATTTGGAAAATAAAGTTTAACCATGAAAATTAGTATAGCTTACGAAATTTGAAAAATATTTTTTTACTATTTCGATATTATTTACGACATCGTTTATCACAGTTATTGTGATAAACATTGAAGTGAATAAATTAAATAAAATAATAAATTAATGATAAAATTACAGAAAAGGGGAGCAACTGCCGATGGCCTTGACATTGACGAATGTTGTCAAGGTCATGTTTCTGAGTAACCTCCAATTTTTCACCGGGACTTGTGCTAAAATTGTAGGTCCCACATGCTCGTGGCAATTGAATAATCAGCGTGCTCATCACAAGTATATGAGAGAGGTGTAACACAGGCCAGAGGCCTAATGTAAGAAGAAGAACTCGTGCTTCGTTAAAGTCATTAACAATCAAAGTCGATAGTTATTTCCCCATTTTGCGTGGAAAGTCGATAATTCGAAGCAGTATTGTGGCGGAGGGTGGAATGAGGTAGACTGACTATGGGCGCACGACTTTCCACATGGTTTTAAATTAACAATAAAACTGGTGACTTACCCCAAGACATAGAAACTTGTTCAATAGAAATATTTATAAGATAATTTTAATGTTTCGAATAGATTATAACTTCATATCTCCTAATCTGATGGTGATTTTTTCTTTGACATGAAGGGATTGATATTTTAAATTTGTTTTGTTGAAGATGGTTAAAAAGTGAACTGAAACGTACTATTTTTGGAATAAAGAATCTATTTTTTGAGTTGAAGAATTAAGATTGCGTATTAATTACCACGTTGATTCTCATTCGCTCTGGTTTTGGAGTTTTTTGTGATTGAATTGTGGGAGAGTCCGTAAGAAGATTACATTATTATTGTTTGTATCTATAGTACACTGTTCTTGAACGTTTAAATTAAAAAATTAATATTATTTATTTACCCATCTCTTGACTACAAAATAAAGTTTAGCCATGAAAATTAGTATACATTCTGTCAAAAAACCACCGGGAATTGATCATTTAAAAAGCCCACTTAAAGGAATTGTCAAAATTCTTTTTGTCGCTAATGTAAGTTGGCATAATTGTCCTCTATACTGACGCGTAGTTTGAGTGCCATCTGTCATTTAATTTGTTTATAGTGCTCGATTTCGTCAGTTCATCTCAAGAGTGCTTTGCGATTTTTACAATGGATAAAAAGATCGTACAAAGAATTTGTCTCAAATTTTGTATTGCAAATGGAATTTCGTGTGCCGAATCGCTGAAGATGTTACAGAAGGCTTACGGTGAATCGACTTTATCAAAAACACGTGCATATGAGTGGTACAGTGGATTGAAAAGCGGTCGAGATGTGGTGAAAGATTTGTCTCGCTCTGGTCGGCCATCAACGTCTTCAACTGAAGTTAACATCGATAAAGTGAAGGAAATGGTGAAAAATCGTCATTTAAATAAAGAATATTATTTGGGCGTTATGCGGCGTTTGAGATAGCAAATTCGTCGAAAAAGGCCAGATTTGTGGAAAAAAAACTCATGGATTTTGCACCACGATAACGCACCATCTCACAAGGCTATCATTGTGAACGAATTTCTGGCCAAAAACTCAACAAATATCATCGAACAACCACCGTATTCACCTGATATGGCTCCGGCTGACTTTTTTCTTTTCCCAAAACTCAAATTACCACTTCGAGGCACTCGTTTTCAGTCGATAGAAGACATAAAAGAGAATTCGCGGCGAGAACTGAAGTCGATTTCGGAAAATGCGTTTAAAAAACGTTTTGATGATTGGATTATTCGTTGGCATAAGTGTATTATTTCGGAAGGGGGCTACTTTGAAGGCGATACAATAAATTTGAATGAATAATAACTATTTTGTGTTTTATTGACCAATTCCCGGTACTTTTTTGACAGAATGTAGCTTACAAAATGTGAAAATACATTTCTTTACTATTTCTGTGTGATTATTGCGACATTGATTTTCACAGTAATTGTAATAAAGTGATAAATTAAATTAAGTAATAAATTTACAAACGACTGTGTAAATGAGAACATAAATATGATAGAGACCATCAATGAACAGTCAAAGATTTTAGATGTATCAAATAATACGATATATATTCTTTGTTGAATCGATTTGTTTAAGATATGATCGCACGTCGGAACGGTCATTTACATCGATCGTAAATTTAAAACACGCTGCCTTGTTACGCGATCTCTCACTATACATATTAGTTATTGTGAAGAATATTTCCCCCCAAAGCCTTAGCGGTGGCGTTGGCTAAGATACTCGTCCCGGAAAGTCGAGATGTCCCGGGTTCGAATCCTGGTTGAGGTAATATTTTTTGTAATAAACGTACTTTACAGTTTTTCAATTTAGGAGGAATTATTAGCGTCTCAAATCGAATGAAAGTCTGAACGTTTCGGCGCACGGTTACATTTGAGATAAATTAATTTCATATACGCGATTGTCCGAACATTTCGGACGCGCGGTATCTTAAATAAATCGATTTAACAATGAATATATCGGATATCCGGCGAGACTCTAGCAATGATTCGCAGGGAGGTAGATGTGACTAAATTGAGTCGAAAAGTACTCTACCATTTTGCAATGTTCGCAATAATTAAGAAGATATTAATCACAAAAAATTGCCGAATATGGTCTTCAATAATTTTTTACTCAAAACTCAAATACTATCAACTTTACAGAACGCTCTTCCAGAACTTTGCATTAATGGTGCTGCAAAATATCGGTCCGCGATGATACTTCAATGTCAAAACTACAAAAGCGAGCGAATAATTTACTATGGCTCGGTTCAGCTCCGCACGACTCTGCGTGCGCGAAACACGTCGCTGACCGGCATTACGAATTCCGCGTGTTCCGACCGCCGCCTATATTCCAAATGCGTTCCATTTATGAATACGTAACGAAGTCTCGAGGAAAACCGAGTTGGACGTGGGAGATGGTCTTTCGTTCACGCAGAAAGGGAGGTTTCGCTTATGTAGGGGTGCACGATATTACTAGCTGCCTGTCAACCGTTTCACGCCATTCTTCTTTGCGTCCTTGACGCTCACGTCGTGACTTTGTCATTAGTGCAATTACGTCATCCTGGCAAATATTGCGGTAGCTCGGTGAACCCGTGAGAGCGTTCCAGTCCAACTGCATTCCTTCGCGAAAAAGCGGTATATACGTGGTGACGATTTTTACAAAATTTATATGTAATTTGCGTCCGTGGTGTTAACATAAAAATATAGAATTACGGAAAACTATTTGTAATGACTCGAATTCATCGAAAAATATTAATTTCTTCGCATTGAGATATAGGGAAGAGTTGCCGAATGCGTACTACTTAAATAACATTTTATTATATTTTTTATTTGGCGCTGATTTATACGCAAATAAACATTGATAATTGAAACTTGATGTTTTAGGTACATGTATAATAAGTTGTTTATACGTATAATTAATTATGAATTAAATAAATAAAATACAGTTTTAAAAAAATCTTATCTTGTTTATTAAAATATGTCACTTTTGTGTTCATTATACATAATGATCTATGTATATATCTACTTTCGAGAAAGAATACAAATATACTATATCTGATGTATGTTTCAATTATAATTAATACTGACATTAAAACTAGTATTAGTATATTACGAGTTTATCTCTAAAGAGTCCGTAATAATTAAAGTTACTCTTATTATTGTGATGGCTGAGGATGACTAATTGTAAGTAAAGTCAAAACGTTTTATTTATTAATGATTGTAAAATACTCTCATATCTTTTATGATAAATTAATATCTTAATAAACTTTATCATCTTATTTTTAACCTCGTTTGACCTATCTTCATATTCATTTGTAATTAAAGTTACATAAATTGAATATTACATAGAGATTGAAATTATAAGTAGTTACTCCGCATTTTAATATTAGAATACTAACTGGAATTATTCAAGTAATGTGACCACCTTAACTTGACTACAATAATAATCATTTTTGATAATTCTATGCAGCATGAAATATTTATGTGATTTCTTTTTTGAAATACTTTAATATAATATTTCAAAAATATATTGTAAAACTGTTTTATAAAGACGTTTTAAAATATTGCATTTAAATGTTTCACAAAAATATTTTAGAAATATTGTAGAAAAAGGATATTTAAAAATGATCTCCTGGATATTCATATTTTAGAAATATTTTATGAAATATTTCTGGAATAGTTTATATCTTACAATGAAACATTTTTAGAATATTTCTGAAATATTTCTATGGGGCATATCAGCATTATCAGTCATTATTAAGTTATGATTTATAATTCTAATATGAATATAAAAATTTTGATATCTTCGTTATAAAGACGTTAAAATTTACGTTAAGGTTTTTATCTTAAAATGATCTCAGGAATCTACTCTTAAACGTTGTTATGATCTTTATCAGATACCGTGTATAGTAATTGAAAATATTTATATACGATGAATGTAAAATCTTCTATAATAAACTTTTTTCTATAAAAATATAAAAATACGAATAAGATTGCACAAATACATTTTTATCAGATAAATTGATGAAAGTTAAGTACATCAGTTTTACTTGTTTTTTTAAAGTGTTACACGCGCATGAAATTAGTTGTAATTATCTGTAAAATTTTTGTTTATATTACTCATTTTTCATTTATCTTATATTTTTGTTACCAAATGCTATCTGTATATTACTTAAAAATTAAATAATTTGATGAGATATGATTTAGGCAACTGATATGCAATCAGCTATTCTCCCCTAGTATATTTTTAATTTATCTTTTGTTATCTGTAGTTTTCAATTATAAACCTCAGTATGTTTCATATTCGAAACGGAATATGATAATACATGATTGATATTATTACTGTCATGGTAGGTACCTATATTTCGCTATCGCGCATCACTATCGACTGAATAACGTCGCAGTTTCGTTAAAGATGTATTTGGACCAATATCAGCTCGGTACTAATTGAAATTCCTCGACAAAATTGTTGAAAGCTATGACCACATCAGAGAGGGAGACGCAATTTTACTACGTCCTCAGTTAAAAGGAACTCTAGAGATATTACCTTGTCATTGACTGTCATATTGCTTATTAACAAACTAAAGGATTGATTAAACAGAAAAGTTATCTAAATTTAGATATAATTTATAATTCTCACACATAATTTATTCAATTTTTGTTTTTCCTTGATTTTATTATTGTGCAAATCAAATTTTATTTGTATTATTTTATCTTATTATATAATACTCATCTTTTTCTTTTTATTCTTTTATCATATTAATATTATATTTCTGAAATATATATAATTCATTGTGCTAAATTATTTAATATTTTGCAAGAAAAATATGATCTGTTTTTTATTCCTGCACTCTCCGAATTGATACACACGATGCAATAAGTTGAAGTGAAATAAATAAATTTATTTTATTTCAATTTATTATACAGTTATGTGCACTCAAGTAGTTTAGAGTGTACAGAAATAAAAAACGAACCTTAAATCTAGAAACGAATAGTTTCTATATTAATTGCACTTTCTATCGATTTAAATAATTATTGTAATTGGTACATTCATTTGTTATTTTATTGTCATTACTCGCTGTTTTCCCCGATGTTTACCCTCAGTCTATGAGTTTTGGTGACTTTTCTATTCAAGCTGCGATATAATCCAGCAAACATAATTACCAGCGTTCTTCACGTCGAATATCACAGTGTATCTTACACTAAGTTACTTTAATCACATATATTTTTATGAATTTTGCTTTGACGTTCTGCGAGAGTGGAGCGTGGCTTTTTCACGTCACGCTAGACGACCAGAGAAACGGGGTGGTGAAAGGGTGGTGATCGGCGGAGATCGTCGCGAGGGGAGAACACGCGCGGGGAGATGGGAAAAAGCGGGGGTAGGCGGGGGGAGGAGGAGGAAAAAAAAGCGTTTGAATATGAGCAGAAAGTGATATAAAATATATCCGTATTTTTTCAAGGGATTCGCCGCGCCGCTACGGTCGGTCCGAATCCTGGATTTCGTTTTGATGAGTTTTCCCGTTCCGCCTACTTCTCCACCATTTTAACCCTCCCCAAAAATCCACAGTTCAATCGCAGCCATTGAATACCAATGTAAATTCGCTCTTGGTTGCCTTGCGGATTTTTTTACTCTTGCATTTTGCTCTTTTCGCGACCACCGTCCTCCCGGGACACACTTTCACGGACACTTTTCGTAACTGTTCTCGAGAATGAGACGAAAAGGGTGTGGCTTTTTCAAGGGTGCTTCGATCGCGGGAAGAATTGAGATATTTGTCTCGTACGTTTTCTGTCCCATGGTGACTCTCTTGAGCGACGCATAAATAGGTGGAAGCTGGCATTAAAGAAAGAAATTTTTGCTCATATGCCAGTTGCACGTTCTCCTCTTAGACTAGATATGTATGATTTTCTAGATATAAGGTAAACTTAAAAATGGAAGAAAAAATAAAAGAAAAATGAACTTATGATTTATGCTTGTTTAATACGGTATATGCAGAAATTTATGAATTTAAATAGTTATTAATAAGTAATCAAGTTGGTAATACAAGTCAATAATAAGTTGCTAAGCTTTGATGCAACATGATAGAAAGATTTATTCAGATAGCGCTGCCATAACAAAATCTAATAATTGCAATATCTCCGACAGAATTCAAGATTGACGCATTGCTTTCAGTATGCAAATAACGAAAATATGATAGTAGTGCGTTTGTATTTTAGTGAATGTATTTGCAGTACATAAAGGACCGCCAAAGAATAAAGCTCGTAGCCTGAGCGCGCGTGCAGCTGAATGCAGGTGAATTTTGCAGTAGACTTCATCGCGGCTTGAATTGCAAGTTCTGTTGCGCGCGTAGAATAAGGCAAAATTTCTTTCATTCGCCGCGTAAAGGGCCGACCGGCTGATTTAATTACCAGCAGTAACGTAACGAGCGCTACAAGCGAAGCCAGCTCAAGGCTACTTGGATCCCAATGTTGGCGGGTGCATCTGGTTTGAGAGGATTTTATATCGTTTCCCAAGCGAGGAAGCTCGCCGCGTAACGTCACGGGAATGATGCGTTTCTACGAAAGAATTACTGCGATAGGGGAAAGGGGGCAACATTAATATGTAGCAGCGGGAAACGCTTGAGTGACGACTTTTAATGAAAACGCGAGAGACACGCGCCAGGAGTAACGGGTGCGACTGGAAGATAAAAAGACGAAGTTGAAAGGGGGGAATATCCAAACGCCGTGTAACATTAAGCCCATTCTACGATTGCGTAAATATAGTTGCATAATAAATGGTTGTAGTTGTATAATAATTGACTATAGAACTACTGAGAACCAATGAGGAGAATATATTGACTGTGATTGATCAATTCTTACAACTACAATCACTTATCTACAACTTTACGCAATTGTACAACTACACTTGCCCAAAACGGTGTGAAGTCCGTTTGGGATAAATTTCTTTGTCATCCATTTGAAAAGTTACATGTAATCGTTATTTCGCAAATATTCCATTTTTCATCTCTTAAAATTTTTTCTGTAATAACAGCACTGTTCTACCTATTCTCGTTTATAATTTTTCTATCTTATTACACAGTTTTACTTTTTATTTACCCTGCAAAACTGTTTTGTCCAATTATAGTCATTACTTTAGGTTAAAAGCGCAGTTTTAGCTACACCGAGTCAGCTACTGTTATAACCAGCAGATGATGAGAAAACTTTTGATATCTCTCCCAGAAAGAAAAATAATAAATATCCAACCAGCGTCAGTGTATAAGATATAAAGTAGGATATGAATATATTTCACGAGATAGAAACACGAAATGCGGTCGCGCTTCAAACCTGGTGGAGGGAACCGCGATCCTTCTCAAAATAAACGGATGCAAATGATCGAACCGCACGGTTGTCGCGCTGGTAACGTATTCCATTGTCACGCTCGACAAAATAAACATATAGCAGGGCTAGTCGCATTTAAGCTCGATATCATTCCCGCCGTCAGGCAGTCGATGTTGCGCAGTTTCTGAGGAAAATATGGGAGGCAAGTTTGCGGATGGAGAGCGTCCTACGGAAGGAAACTTAAATAAAATTCGGAGCGATATAGGTGGTTCACGAGCACCATCGTTTGGCGAAGAGGCGTCTGTGGATAACACAGGATACGTCACAGAACGTGACTTCTACCTCCTAGAAACGTATCTGAGGGAGATATGTAGGAGAGATAAGCGAGTCGCGAGAGAGATGACAGGCGGAGGTTTTGGTCGCGTTGCCAAAAATCAAGAACGAGGAATGCGTGAACGAGTGAGACTTTCACGTTCATGTAAACGTGTGACCGATCAGATCGATTACGGTTTTCGTTTTCCCCGTCGATTGATCAACGAGTGTCAGCTGGTCGACCGACAAATCACCACGTGTTCTTAGTTGTGGAAACTTGTCGAGATTATAGACCTCCGACGTCGGTGACCTATATATAGATGGAGAATTATGTTGCTCGGATGAGAGCATAGCAATTTGAAATCAAATATAGAAGTGCACTCCCGAGCTATCTACTGTCGCGCGATTATATATGATATAATAAATAGTATATATTGTGGTACACATTAACGTAATGTAATGAGAGGAATGAATTACACGCGAATGAATTACGGAATAGTATGTCGTAAGATAAAATAATCAAAAATATGAATGATGCATGTTTACGAAATTGTACAGCTATATATTACAAGGTGTTAAAGCCGGTCTATGGAAGTCGAGAGAACTTTAGAAGATTAATTATTGTTTAATCCGTACAAGAGAAATTATTTGCTCCAAAATTGATTATCGAAAGTAATTAGAAAGAGATTTCTCAACTGTCACAAGAAATAGATTTTAACTGTTATATATTTAATATATAAAACAATTATAAATATAATATTTAATATAATTTAAATCTTAATCGCAAGAAAATTATAGGTGTTAAGAGTTATGGTACTTTTACGATGAAATTCCGAGTTTCTGCGGAAGAAAAGGCGGTTCAAAGGGAACCACCTACGCACAGATGCAAGTAGGAAGAGCGGCGATGTCTTTAGAGAAATATGTGACCTATATATCGCGCGCGTACGTCGTATACGTATCCCATCGCTCGTAGGTATCAAGCGACATTTGAATAACATCGTAACGTGTCGAGTAGAGCGGCAAGCCTCCAGTTTCTATCGCCGGTTTCTTACTCTCTGCCTCCCCGCGGTCGTTCTTTTTCTTTTAACCGCTGCGACCTCGTCCCGAAGCCGCGCGGCCGATGATGTCGATTTAAAATTCTAATGCCGCGGCGCGCAACTTTGTTCCTAGCACAGGTCATAGACGCGACGATATCCGAAAATGGGTTACCTCGCATCATGTTCCTGGCGCGCATCCTCCCTCTCGCTCGCAGCGAGAAACGTTGAAACCGAAAGCCGCTGACTGGCGTGGAATCAGACTCGCCTGGCGGAGTCAAAGGGTTATGAAACACAGCGGCCCGGGCTTCTTAAATGTCATGCAAACTCGATTCTACCCCTCTGCCGTTTCTGGTTTCCACCGCCGCTTGGCGGCCACCGAACTTCGTGAACGGCGAAAGGAAAATTTTAGTCGGGGGGCTTTCGCCTTTTTATTGCCCGATACCACGCCTTGCTCGAGGGGCGGCGTCCCCGAGCTCAGGCGGAGGAAATTCTCGGTAGAGAGCGGAATAAATATGTATGCTAAGCCGAATAAGGGAGGGTTTCAACCGCAGTCGTCTCATGGGTGCGCGTTCGGTCGTCTTCGTGGTTCCATGGATTGGGATGGTCATCGATCGACATTGCGTAGATTTTGCGACCATTCGAGGACGATACGTCGCTTGTTTCTCGCTGAGGAAAGTATATACATACGTACGTAAAGTATCGGCGACGAAAAAGCCATTATTACGTTTGTTCGAATTAGAAACCTTCAAAGTGAAGCGTGCGAAACATATAAGAATCGTAAAAAAAAAAAGCGAGCGGGCTTGAATTTTTACGCACGTGCCTTAAATGCGATCTTTCTATCTTTCTCGCTCCGCTACTGAGAAAATCAAGTTGCTACTTGGAACGACCATAAACTCAATCTCTTTTGCTATCTAGCATGATGTTGGCTCGACCCTGTAACATTGACAACAGTCTTGTAACCGACCTTCGTTACAGGTGCACATGCACGTGCGAGCGGTTGCAACTGCATACAGATTCGGTTTCTTTGATCTGGGAAAATATAGTGACACTATAGAGCGGATAATCCTGATTTCATATTCCTTTTGGTTAAAGCATGAAAGCTGCACGTCTACCGCACGCATGGTGAGTCTTTACCTAAGACACAAGATTTTCTGTGTCGTTCCATGTGCCAGCTTTGATATCCCAGAGCGCACTATGTTAGAATCGAGACATAAGATGTTTTAAAGATTATCAAGACATCTTTTAGACGTTATAAGGCGTCTTAAAAACGTCTTATAAATTGAAGACACCTTTTATGTACCGATTTCAGACATGCATGCTGTCTGAACTTTTACAACACAGTCAATTAAACATTTATATACAATTAATAAATTTATTAATTAAAAGAACTAAAGAGGGACGTTAATTAAGAGAATTTCCATTTTTATATAATCGTAAAATTGAAATATAATTAACACTCATAAGTTGACATATTATTGCAATTTAATGAGCACTTGGTGGATACTTCGATGAAACATATAGCTCTGACTAGCCAATTATCATAATAATAACGGAAGCTATCGCGAACGAATAGCGGAGAGAATCAAGGCAGCCAAAAAGTTAATGGAACAAAAGGAACTCGGAGCTCCCTCACCCTTTATCACGTTATAGACGTTCCTTTGCTCCCGCACAGTGAGTTCAACTACACGAGTATGCCCGAATAATTCGATGATTTAGATGGAAAGATAGCGAAGAAGTCAAGTTTCTCTTCTTACTCCGCACAAGGAACTCGTAAGCGACATATCACTCGAGCTGTTTACCCGATCATGGGTAACAACCCACATACCGGTTCATTCCTGAGAGAACGCTTAACTAATCTCGCCTGCATTTATATCCCTCGCGTGATCCACTCATCCTAATTTGTTCCGTCTTTCGGACCGTAACGTTTGAGTGCTGTAACAAGCTCGCTGATGCGAGTTCGCAAGTGCGGAATCACCGT